GCACCCACTAGGTACTGCATATCCATGTGCCAGAGTTGGGGTGCTGCTGCACGTGCGCACGTGCAGGGGTCGTTTCCAGATCTCGAGAACGGCTGGACCAATGGCGCTCAAATTTGGTACACGGTTAGGGACCAGTTAGCAGGGTGCCGTGCACAAGTCAGTTGGGACCCATTTTGCACGTGCGCACGTGCAGGGTGCCGCTTCCAGATCTCGAGAACGGCTGGGCCGATTGTGCTCAAATTTGGCATATTGCTAGAGACCGGTTAGTAGGGTGCCGTGCTCAATTCAGTTAGAGGTACCCCCTCGAAATTTTGCACGTGCAAGGCCCACCCTCACGCTCGCTCCGTTAGTCGCCCCAAAAGGCGTTATACTGGTATATAAAGTGCAATATAAGTAGCAGCAGTATATAAGTATGGTATATAAGTAGTATATAAGTAGCAGCAACCCCAACATCTCCCAATGTCCCCTTCGTGGCCGAGTGAATAAAAGCGCCGGAATTCGACGCTTAGCCGGTAGTGAGAGCCCGGTTCAAGCCCCGGTGCGGGCGGCCACATTTAGCTCCTACGTGTAATGGCGTGCGTGTCTGTGGCAGGGGCCGCACAGAGGCCAGGTAACGTGAGTGAGCGGAGGGGGCCGTGTCCAGTCGTGAGGGCACGTTAAACGTTCGGACTAAATTCTGCAATACAACTGGAATTGCGCGATCGGGTGGTGGGGTCAGGGTCAGCACAACAAGCTATGGTTAGTGCAGGCTCTGATTCCTCAAATCCACCCATTCAACCATTCGGACTAAATTTATAAAAAAAATCTCTGAAAATGATCATTAAGGGCCTATTGGTGTCGCATGGAAAATAATTGACTCAAAAGCCCAAGCGCACTGCGCAACCCTGATATTTTCTTTAAAAAAAAAACTAAGTTATGTACACGTTTACTTCTGGTGAACAGTGTCCCAAACTTCAGATTTCTCTTCGGTGTCTGAGTGGAAAATTCGAGCCACCCAAAATGTGAGAGTGGAAAATTATCCATTCTTATTCTTGAGTGTCATCTTCAGCCCAAATGAGAAATTTTTGGAACGCTGACTGTGAACGGTTCAAAATTCGTCCAACTGGTCAGATGTGTGACTGCAAGCATCATACCGGTCGTGAAGACGCATAATATCGCTCGCAGACTTCAACCGGCTGGAAGTCGCCGACACTACCTCTAGTTTGACTCTGGCTTATATCGTGTCTGTCGGCGAGCCGTCTGAGATCGCTCGCAGGCTTATCCCCGACCGTCTGAACTGGTCTGTTCTTTATTCGTAGTTTTTCTTGTAACCGACTGGTCTGCGGCGGATGCTTATGTGACTGCAACCACTCGATCGATCGGAAAGCTTGCAAGAACTCTCGCAGACCTCGATCGGCTGGAAGCCGCCGACACTATCTGTAATTGACAGAGGCAGACGTCTTTCGCGATTATTGCATAAAATTTAAAGCCTCGGTCACACTTCACCGGATGGGACCAACGGACGAGAAACGGACGAGAACTGTCAGCGTCCGGTGATGTCCGTTTGTTTCCGTTGGACGTCCGTTTGTCATCCGTTAATATCCGTTCCGGTGGTGTCCGGTTGAGCACACCGGACACCACCGGACATGGAATGGATATGAACGGATGAGAAACGGACGTCCAACGGAAACGAACGGACATCCCCCGGACATCACCGGACGCCGTCCGTTTCTCGTCCATTGGTCCAATCCGGTGGAGTGTGACCGAGGCTTAGTCCACGTAGTCCACTATATTTCACTTTTTACCCCAAGAGGATATTGCAAACAATAGGTTGAAGTTTTTTTTCACAAGAATATCTTTCACCGATGGGTACTTTACAGCCTGAAAATGTACGATAAGATCTGCTAATTCAATTTGAAATGTGAAAAATGTGAAAACTTAGATTTTTCGGAAAATTACTGGTGGGCCAAATCTTTGAGGCTGGTGGGCCATTTCGGGTCACTGGTGGGCCATTTGGCCCACCAGTTAACATGTTAGACGAGGCCCTGTGGCATGTAAGTTAAGTTTCTCATCATGCCTTCTTCATTGGTGAGAAGCAAATCAAGGGTGCTTGGGGGCTGCCCTGGTCTAAATCTGGTGGGTCTTGCCACATGCTGGGTGAGGAAACAGTCCTGAACACACTTGATCAAGTAGTGAGAGTAGTGGCCTTCTGGTTCTGGAGAAAAAACATTGGCCCAGTCAATTTGGGGAACGTTGAAGTCGCCTCCAATCAGCATGTGTGACGGTTTTGAGTGTGATGCTTTCTTCAATACTTCTGTAAGCTCCAGCATGCTTTGATGTCTGTTGGTTGAGGGGCTTATATATATGCAGCCTATCAGGAGTTTGTCGCTGTTCAGTAAGTCAACATTGACCCACAGATGCTCAATGGTTGCTATGGTGCCAAATGATGTTTCTGCACAGCGTAGAGTCTCTTTCACATAGATGCAGAGCCCACGATACCCACTGCAACCCAGCCTTGGTTGGGTAATTTCAAAGTTAGTGTACAAGTTGTACCCGGCAATAGCGAGAAGTGCAGGTGAAAGGGGGAGCATTTGTGCTTTGGGGATTACCTCGGTTATCATGATGATGTCGGGCTCTGTACCTGCTATTTGCATGCACAAGTCATCACGCTTGTTCACTAGTTGATCTGCGTTTGTATAATAAACAGACAGCTCTCTTCTGTTAACAATCTTACCATGGCTTGTTCTCTGATAGCGTCAATCTTGAGAGCATGGGTTGCGATCACTGTTTTCGGAGGCCTCCACTGCACCTCCAGTTTGGGTCGGTTCTTGACTCACTGTGACGGGGGTTCCCTGCGCAGCAGATGATCTGGTTACCTCAACCGAGGGTGGCACCTTGCCTACCGTCTCCCCCTTTGAGGCCTTGCTTCTGCTGTTGCCAGCCTCTTTCCTCTGTCCAGAGGTTGTAGTGGAACCCTCATCTGGCACAGTCACTATCCTTCCCCTCTTGATCACAATGTTTGTCTCACCAGTTTGCCGTCGAGCAGTGAGTTCTTCCCTCAATCGCTTTCCTTCCTCCCGTTCCTTTTTGGATAAATCAGGTGTGACGTAGATCCTCTTCCAAGTAGTTAAATGCCGGAGTTGAGGTGCCATTTTCAGCAGTTCAGCCTTTGTTTCAACACTGTCCAGGGTGACAATCAGCAGTCTAGGTCTGTCTTCCAGCTTCTTCCCGACTCTGAATGATCTAGTAGGATGAACACTGAGGTTCATGCCTGCTTTGATGACATCTCTGAACAACTCCTGGTCTCTTACAGATCTTTCAGCCAGTGTTGCACAGTCGTCCTCAGGTAGGTTGTGGACCACCACATTTAGTTTCCGCTTCTCCCTGTCCATATAGCTGTCAAAGACACTGGACATCGCTCTGGTGGCCTCTGATGCGTCTTTGGCTCCAACCGTTGCTGGAAGAGTCTCAATCTTGGCACTTACTTCCTTGACCACCTTGTCGCAGGTGCCTCGGACCATATCTGCATATGTTGCTTTTTGGTTGTGCTGGTCCTTACATATTCTTTCTAGTAGTTTGGCACTGTCGGACACCACCTTTTCTTGCTCTTTCATTGACTGGGCAATGATCTTCATGTGGTCCCTGACCATGTCGCCTATGTTTTGGACCTTACCTTCAAGTGCCATAAGATCCATTCCGTCCTTCGGGGTTGCAGGACTGATCTCAACATCGTTGAGGATTTTTTTACACGTCTCACAGAGCCATGCCAGACATTTGTACTTGATCAATGCATCGTGAGCAAGCTTCGGTATGGCCTGGCATTTAATGTGAAACCACTGCTGACATCGGTCACACTGAACAGCCTTGTCTCCATTTACAACCTGGACTCCGCAGCTTGGGTTATTCGGGCCACCTCGGCAAATGGCTCCCTCACTGTTTGTATCGCTCGTGTCGCTGGATGATCGAGAGATTGAGATGTTAGCCTCACCAAATGGCTTAAATGCGCTCGTGTCCAGCTTACCTACTGCTTTGGCTCCAGCTGGTGCATGGGGAGTAGAAGCTGGTGGGTTTTTCTCACCTGATTCACCTCCCAGTCGACCTTCACTTCTATCTATCTGAGCACCACTTGCACCATCACCCGAATCATTTATAATTCCAGAACGTTCAGTACCATCCCCACTCTCCACATGGTCGCGACGCTCTGAATGCGGCGGTACTGACGCACCAGATGACTGTAGTGCTGAGCGTGTTCTTGTTTGCCTTATTTTCACCGGTGGAGTGCGTGTCATTGACATATCTTCATATGCTTTCTTCGTGAGAATTTCTTAACTTGCTGCTACCAACCAGTTTTACTTTAGGATAATATATCGGAAAACTTAAGCACTCGGTAGAGGAGTGGAGGATCAGCTGATGGATAACAGCGCAGGTACGGTAGATAACGTTCTCGGGAGCTCGATGGCACGTCCGACCACTACGAGAGTCCGAAACCCAACAGTCATTGTATTTTTGATCATTTTTGATCGAAACCCAAGTTTTTGATCATTGTATTTTCCCCAAGTTGCTCATCGTCCTCCCTTCAAACCACTAAAGTGCATGTTATTGTATCACCAAATGTACACAGTAATGACAAGGGCACACTTGTCAGGCTGAATTTATGGGTACTTTGAATAGGTTGAAGTTTGTGCCAAGCTGGGGTGCCTGAGATTTTCCAATCCTATGCCAGCTTGGCTTGGGAGCCACAATGGATGGTGGGGTTCAAGGTCACCCCTAGGAACGTGGAAGATATGCTGAGCCCAGGCACCCCTAGCTGCAGCTCAGCACAAACCTCAACCTACGGTGCCAGCCAACCATAGGTTGGTTGGCTCAAAGCAACCTATGGTGCCAGGTGCAAAACTACAACCAAGAAAGAATGCAACAGCTGATAACTGCACTTGTATCTAGTTAGACTGGTGGCACACAATTAGTATATCAATACAAAGGCAGGTTCTTGACAGCTGAAAAGAACATTGCTGAATGCTTACCTCTTCCTTGACATAGTCGTAAAGTGATGAATCCAGTCTCTGTCCGGCAGTGTTTCTGTGATGCTCTTTTGCCTTCCTATCGAATATAATAGCAGGGAAACATGCTCTTGTGCTTGTTGAAATTGTTCGCCAACATTCAGTATTTTGGAACTGGTTAGCAATAAACCTCGCAGCGCATGACATCCCTGGTTTCATTATCATCTTGTACTTGAATTTGACAAACGTTGCAGCCAAGAGTATTACTTTACTTATACAACACAGCGTTCTGGTTCACACTTTTCTTCATTTTTCACAAACTGAAACCACCGACACAATCCAACTGTTATTGGTTTTGGCTTCAATATGGCTCATATTGAACAGTTGAGGAATTTTTGGTGGGCACAGTCTACGAAAACAAAAGCAAATCCACGTGGTTGGGCAAGCAGGGCGATAAATACCAGATAAATACCGTGGTAAGGTGTATTTATCATTATTGAAAAATACACCTTACTACCTTACTGGTGATATTATGTTATCGCCTTGGAGGCACATGTTCCCCGTTCCACGATACGTCGCTAACCATAACCCAACGCAGCCGGGATATTAACACGTTTCTATGGAAATCAATGTAACGGAAGTTGGCACAGATTCAGCACAGATTCAGCACAGCACAGATTCGGTAGGGGGAAAAAAGGCCCCGGTAGAGGGAAACCTTTATGACCCGTTTTCCCCTAGAAATGACGTCACAAAGAGGTAAAAATGGGTATCAATCGAAAGCTCTCGTTTACCCAGACACAGTCCTGCAGGAAAATTCCACTTTTTCCCCATAGGAAAGTTTTTACGGAAAAATCAAAATTTCGGGTCAATGGGGGGTCCCCCCCGATTTCGTTCAAAATCGGCACACAGGTGCCCCACCACCAGCCGAGAAACTTTCCCCAAAACGGTCCCCGTTGCATTGACGTTTAAGGCCCTTAAAGCCCCGTAAACTCGTAAAAAATCCGTAAATTCGCCCTTGTACGGCCAAAAACGGGGCGCTAGGGTAAAAATGGGTATCAATCGAAAGCTCTCGTTTACCCAGACACAGTCCTGCAGGAAAATTCCACTTTTTCCCCATAGGAAAGTTTTTACGGGAAAATCAAAATTTTGGGTCAATGGGGGGTCCCCCCGATTTCGTTCAAAATCGGCACACAGGTGCCCCACCACCAGCCGAGAAACTTTCCCCAAAACGGTCCCCGTTGCATTGACGTTTAAGGCCCGTAAAGCCCCCTAGACTCGTAAAATATCCGTAAATTCGCCCTTGTACGGCCAAAAACGGGGCGCTAGGGTAAAAATGGGTATCAATCGAAAGCTCTCGTTTACCCAGATACAGTCCTGCAGGAAAATTCCACTTTTTCCCCATAGGAAAGTTTTTACGGAAAAATCAAAATTTTGGGTCAATGGGGGGTCCCCCCCGATTTCGTTCAAAATCGGCACACAGGTGCCCCACCACCAGCCGAGAAACTTTCCCCAAAACGGTCCCCGTTGCATTGACGTTTAAGGCCCTTAAAGCCCCGTAAACTCGTAAAAAATCCGTAAATTCGCCCTTGTACGGCCAAAAACGGGGCGCTAGGGTAAAAATGGGTATCAATCGAAAGGTCTCGTTTACCCAGACACAGTCCTGCAGGAAAATTCCACTTTTTCCCCATAGGAAAGTTTTTACGGGAAAATCAAAATTTTGGGTCAATAAGGGGTCCCCCCCGATTTCGTTCAAAATTGGCACACAGGTGCCCCACCACCAGCCGAGAAACTTTCCCCAAAACGGTCCCCGTTGCATTGACGTTTAAGGCCCGTAAAGCCCCCTAGACTCGTAAAATATCCGTAAATTCGCCCTTGTACGGCCAAAAACGGGGCGCTAGGGTAAAAATGGGTATCAATCGAAAGCTCTCGTTTACCCAGATACAGTCCTGCAGGAAAATTCCACTTTTTCCCCATAGGAAAGTTTTTACGGAAAAATCAAAATTTTGGGTCAATGGGGGGTCCCCCCCGATTTCGTTCAAAATCGGCACACAGGTGCCCCACCACCAGCCGAGAAACTTTCCCCAAAACGGTCCCCGTTGCATTGACGTTTAAGGCCCTTGAAGCCCCGTAAACTCGTAAAAAATCCGTAAATTCGCCCTTGTACGGCCAAAAACGGGGCGCTAGGGTAAAAATGGGTATCAATCGAAAGCTCTCGTTTACCCAGACACAGTCCTGCAGGAAAATTCCACTTTTTCCCCATAGGAAAGTTTTTACGGAAAAATCAAAATTTCGGGTCAATGGGGGGTCCCCCCCGATTTCGTTCAAAATCGGCACACAGGTGCCCCACCACCAGCCGAGAAACTTTCCCCAAAACGGTCCCCGTTGCATTGACGTTTAAGGCCCTTAAAGCCCCGTAAACTCGTAAAAAATCCGTAAATTCGCCCTTGTACGGCCAAAAACGGGGCGCTAGGGTAAAAATGGGTATCAATCGAAAGCTCTCGTTTACCCAGACACAGTCCTGCAGGAAAATTCCACTTTTTCCCCATAGGAAAGTTTTTACGGGAAAATCAAAATTTTGGGTCAATGGGGGGTCCCCCCCGATTTCGTTCAAAATCGGCACACAGGTGCCCCACCACCAGCCGAGAAACTTTCCCCAAAACGGTCCCCGTTGCATTGACGTTTAAGGCCCGTAAAGCCCCCTAGACTCGTAAAATATCCGTAAATTCGCCCTTGTACGGCCAAAAACGGGGCGCTAGGGTAAAAATGGGTATCAATCGAAAGCTCTCGTTTACCCAGATACAGTCCTGCAGGAAAATTCCACTTTTCCCCCATAGGAAAGTTTTTACGGAAAAATCAAAATTTTGGGTCAATGGGGGGTCCCCCCCGATTTCGTTCAAAATCGGCACACAGGTGCCCCACCACCAGCCAAGAAACTTTCCCCAAAACGGTCCCCGTTGCATTGACGTTTAAGGCCCGTAAAGCCCCCTAGACTCGTAAAATATCCGTAAAATCACCTTTGTACGGACAAAAAAGTGGTGCTATGGTATAAATGGGTATCAATCGAAAGCTCTCGTTTACCCAGATACAGTCCTGCAGGAAAATTCCACTTTTTCCCCATAGGAAAGTTGACCCAAAATTTTGATTTTCCCGTAAAAACTTTCCTATGGGGAAAAAGTGGAATTTTCCTGCAGGACTGTGTCTGGGTAAACGAGAGCTTTCGATTGATACCCTTTTTTACCCTAGCGCCCCGTTTTTGGCCGTACAAGGGCGAATTTACGGATTTTTTACGAGTTTACGGGGCTTTAAGGGCCTTAAACGTCAATGCAACGGGGACCGTTTTGGGGAAAGTTTCTCGGCTGGTGGTGGGGCACCTGTGTGCCGATTTTGAACGAAATCGGGGGGGACCCCCCATTGACCCAAAATTTTGATTTTCCCGTAAAAACTTTCCTATGGGAAAAAAGTGGAATTTTCCTGCAGGACTGTGTCTGGGTAAACGAGAGCTTTCGATTGATACCCATTTTTACCATAGCACCACTTTTTTGTCCGTACAAAGGCGATTTTACGGATATTTTACGAGTCTAGGGGGCTTTACGGGCCTTAAACGTCAATGCAACGGGGACCGTTTTGGGGAAAGTTTCTCGGCTGGTGGTGGGGCACCTGTGTGCCGATTTTGAACGAAATCGGGGGGGGACCCCCATTGACCCGAAATTTTGATTTTCCCGTAAAAACTTTCCTATGGGGAAAAAGTGGAATTTTCCTGCAGGACTGTGTCTGGGTAAACGAGAGCTTTCGATTGATACCCTTTTTTACCCTAGCGCCCCGTTTTTGGCCGTACAAGGACGAATTTACGGATTTTTTACGAGTTTACGGGGCTTTAAGGGCCTTAAACGTCAATGCAACGGGGACCGTTTTGGGGAAAGTTTCTCGGCTGGTGGTGGGGCACCTGTGTGCCGATTTTGAACGAAATCGGGGGGGACCCCCCATTGACCCAAAATTTTGATTTTCCCGTAAAAACTTTCCTATGGGAAAAAAGTGGAATTTTCCTGCAGGACTGTGTCTGGGTAAACGAGAGCTTTCGATTGATACCCATTTTTACCATAGCACCACTTTTTTGTCCGTACAAAGGCGATTTTACGGATATTTTACGAGTCTAGGGGGCTTTACGGGCCTTAAACGTCAATGCAACGGGGACCGTTTTGGGGAAAGTTTCTCGGCTGGTGATGGGGCACCTGTGTGCCGATTTTGAACGAAATCGGGGGGACCCCCCCATTGACCCGAAATTTTGATTTTCCCGTAAAAACTTTCCTATGGGGAAAAAGTGGAATTTTCCTGCAGGACTGTGTCTGGGTAAACGAGAGCTTTCGATTGATACCCTTTTTTACCCTAGCGCCCCGTTTTTGGCCGTACAAGGGCGAATTTACGGATTTTTTACGAGTTTACGGGGCTTTAAGGGCCTTAAACGTCAATGCAACGGGGACCGTTTTGGGGAAAGTTTCTCGGCTGGTGGTGGGGCACCTGTGTGCCGATTTTGAACGAAATCGGGGGGGACCCCCCATTGACCCGAAATTTTGATTTTCCCGTAAAAACTTTCCTATGGGAAAAAAGTGGAAATTTCCTGCAGGACTGTGTCTGGGTAAACGAGAGCTTTCGATTGATACCCATTTTTACCTCTTTGTGACGTCATTTCTAGGGGAAAACGGGTCATAAAGGTTTCCCTCTACCGGGGCCTTTTTTCCCCCTACCGAATCTGTGCTGTGCTGAACCTGTGCTGAATCTGTGCCAACTTCCGTTACATCTCCTTCCAGCAAAGTTTGCTGGTTTTGCCTGCGTTTCCATGGAAACTGAGCGCCAATAAGCGTCCTGATGGTGGACCTGAACAGGACGCAGTAACGTTTTTGAGGCAAGTCCGGCGCATATCCTGTCGTATTGATCACGTGGTATATAGACATTGAAAATATGTTCTTTGGAACATTTTGTGGTAGATAAGATTACATTTTCAGGTAATGCTATTTTAGTTAGAAAATGGCATTGAATTGCAAAGGGAAAAGAAGTTTTGATATTCATAGGGGTGTTAAATATATGTTAACGCTTATAGGTCACGTGATGTAGCCTGAAAATAATGAAAAATGGGCGAGACAAATGTGAATTAATATGTGAGCACTAGTTATGTGAGTTGGTCTGAAGGGGCTCTGGTATTAACTGGATAATTCGCCAGCTGACGCCGTATGGTGGCGCTAGTGGAGCAGCACCATATGACGTCAGCAGAAAACACCGTGAGCAGCTATGAAATGGGAGCGAGCACCACGGAAATATCGAAAGGTGATGGACATGTACTGACTTTGGTCATTCAAGTACCACCAACACCGTACAAAAACCATATAATATTATCAAGATTGATTCCGGAATCGATTTGTTCGGGTATTTAAAACACATAAAAAATGTTTGTTACCGAATTCTGAAACAGTATAAGGATATTCTTGTTCCTTACTTTAACCTTGTGGAGTACTTTTACTTGCTTTCTAGTGCGCCCATCACTATCTTGAAATCTGGATTGCAACGCTGTAGGAAAACTATTTTTTCATTTGTTATTTCTTCCACTTTTGAGCAGTGATAATTTATTTGGTTTTATAAATTAAATAATGAAGACGGCTCCTAACTTTTTAGGGATCTGCAATGGCCCAGAGAGCAAAATCAGATATTTTCTAGAAACTTGAGGCCACTATTTTCTTATATGCTAGATAATATACAAATATTGACATGTAAAGAATGATACGGGTGTATAATTCTGCAGAAATATAAATTCAAAGTATTTAAATTTTTCTTACCGGGCCCAAATACAGGACGCTGTGGTGGCCCGTAAGCCACAAATACCATACCAAATTTTTCAAGAACCTTTTTAAAATCTTCCCTAATGACTTCTTTCAATACAAGGTGGAAGCAATTTCAGTTAACAATAAAGCAGCACAAGGCAGTACCTTGAGCTGCGATGATCCATAACCAATCGGCACCTGCAATTTGATTGATCTTCGAGATGTACCCTGCCTCTGTTCCCTGACTTTCCCTTTTCGTTGTACCGGGTTAAGTGAATATTCTGTGAATATTCTTCTGACAGTCAGTTTTTAGTCCTACATTATGTTGTCAATCAGATTTAATTGGTTCAAAAACCGTCGTAGTCCGTCTCATTCGCAGTCTACATCTCCACATGCGCACCCATACATGCTCAAAATGTTCACTACGTATGTACTACTACTACCCTGCAGCGTATCCTGATGAAAAATGTTTTGCTGAAATCAGAGACACATCCCAAGGTAGGCCATAGTCCATGGCCATATATTTAAGTCAAAACAGATGAAACAGATAAACACAATTCCAATCATCAAGTCAACCAGCATCGACAATCTGCACATAAATTCTAAACCTATTGCAAGACTACTTTGTATTCAAACTTTGTATTGCAGAAGGGTGGAAGCTGCATGGAATTATGCGACAATTTCAGCGTGCATCCACGCTCGAAAGAGCAGGGTTAATTGTAACAATGTCAATACCATAACAATAACGTAATTGTAGGTGTTGTGATTCGCCATTCGGTTGTCTCTTGTCTGTGCTGGCCATTGCGCGGGCGGTCCAGCGGCGGAACTCGGCTTTGCCGCCGTGGCGCGCTGGCAGTTGCTTCTTCTTCTTCTTCTGCATCCCACCGCCAACCCGCTCAGGGGGGCGGCGGCGCAGGCGGGTCGAGCGGCGGCTCGGTCCGCCCAACATCCTCGATGAAGGTGACGACCTTCGTCGCCGGGCCGCCGAGGACGTCGACCAGGCGAGGGTCGACACCCCAGCGGCGGCGGCGGGCCGCCTCATAGGCCGGACAATCGGTCAGTAGGTGCGCCGCGCTGTCGGGCTCCCCGCACGCGGGGCATTCGTCGTCGGCTTCCGGGCCAATCTTGTGGAGCGTGTCACGGGTCAGCGGTGATGTGCCGGTCCTCAGCTGGGACAGCGTCACCGACCCCAGCGCGCCAGGGAGTCGTGGCCAGGCGTGGGGTCCGGGTGCGGGTGGGCAGCGGTTGCCCTCTGTCGCGACAGCTCCCGGACATGGCGCGTGACGGCGGCCCGCGCACTCGACAGGTCGATCGGTGCGCTGTCTTGGTCGCCCGCCGTGGCCTCGCCAGCCAGGTGGTCGGCGGTTTCGTTGCCGTCCAGCCCGGCATGGCCTGGCACCCACTGGAGCACCGTCTCGGTGCCGTTCTCGGCGAGGGTGCTCAGCACTCAGCAGCCTCCACACCTCGGCGGCCAGGGCCATGGTCTGGTTAGCTGGGCCGCGGCCGAGTAGTTGGAGCCCAGACCTTGAGTCGGTGAGGAGGCGGACCGACTTGGTCGATGCCAACTCCCCGTCCTCCAGGCCGGCCACAGCCGCGAACGCCTCGCGCATGGCGGTCAGTTCTGCTCTTAGGCTGGAGCAGACCGCCCCTGCAGGAGCGCGCACGGGCTCTTCTCTGTTGAGGTGGTGGAACTGGATCAGCGCCTGCGCCGCCCTGTTCCGTCCGCCGCGAGCCGAGCCGTCCGACCAGATAGTGACGTCCGGGTGCGGGAGCTCTGCAATGGCTAGCAGGGCAGCTTCCCTGCGGACTGCAGGCGGGTCCGACCGGCGGGTGGCCACGGGCAGGTCCACCCTGAAGGTGATGCCGCCGCGGTGGCCCAGCCATGGCGGGTCGCAGCTGTAGAACGCCGAACCTGTAACACAATAGAATTGCAATTGTAACAAAGACCTGCATGGTCAGCACACATCTGCAGTGACTGTCATCCCAAGTTGGTATGAATTGGCACAAAGTTGGGTCATGGTAGCAGACGTAGCACAAGCTGTTGTGATATGCCATACCGTAGGACTAGGTCGTAGGTTGTAAATTTTAGGTTTAAGGCTGTAGGTTGTAGGTCAGGTTAGGTAAGGTTTGGTTAGAAAGACCCATTCTCGTGCATCGGGCAGCTTGTGCTACATCTACCTTACCTATAGTACCCAATTTGAATTCCCAAAATTGATGGCAAACAGGCTTTTTGTATAGGTAACAAGTGTGGTTAATTGTTCTAATCCCCGCTGCAATGTGAGGGTAACTGCTTTTCTACAATTACAATATTTGAATTCATATAGGTAGGTGTTTACATGCTCAGAAAATGACACAAAATATGACACAATTATAGCTGCAACTGGATAGTGGATACCAACCTGAACTAAAAGTTTCTGCAGCCTTATAACCTAACAAATGACTTAATTGCCAAAATAAATCCCTTAGTACAATAGCTTGACTCTAAAATAACAGAAATTTTGCATGCAGACCCTGAAATGAAATGGAGGGTTTATGAAAAGTAACAAAAATAAGCATTCACTAATATCAATATGTTGTTATAAATTTCATATGTAGCATAAGCGCCAATACTGCCTTCATTTACAATGTTGCTACTGTTTTCCACTCACAAACGCTGCCCTCCGTGGACAGCAGCAGCAGCAGTGAAACGTCACCCGTGGGGTGACATCATCACCCATGACGTAATGGAAATCCAGTTGTTACCAAGGCCCGTCTGGGCCCTGTTTCACCGGTGATAGCAGCAAGCTGCTATCAAGTTTCGCGAGCTGACGTCATGTCATGACGCCATACTGCTGACGTTATGGGCAGTTCCGGCGCACGATGGCCGCGACCTTGGGCGCCGCATTAAAGGAAATAGTTCACTTTCACGAAATTATTTTTTTTGCAATGGATTTGTGATTTTTTATGTTCAAAATGATCAGCAAAGAAAATAAAACCTTTTTACAACAAAAGATTATTTTCTATATTTTTGATATAGGAAGAACTTTTCAGTTTCTGTAAGGCACACGCGATCCAGTATGAAAAGAGCATGGGTCCCGAAAATTCATCAAAACTAGAGAAATTATCGCGGCCACCGGCATTTGGGCGATCTGCTCGTGCTTTTGTTACTGGAGCGCCTCACTGGAGCGAATTTCTCTAGAGTTCTCGTAGATAATTTCTCTAGTTTCTGAAGAATTTTAGGGACCCATGCTCGTTTCATACTGGATGCGAATATATGCAAGGCACACATCCTCAACGCAAGACACATTTTTCGGGACGAGAAATAGAATATCTTTGCCTAGGGTGATCGTTGGGCTGTAAAAGCTCCTGATTTATGCTCGTCTCAGCCCAAGCTACGGAACTGCTATTCCAGTTCAAAACCCATGTTAAAATGTGAACTATTTCCTTTAAGTGACGTATGAGACTAATAGTAAGAGTTTACGCAGTCATTATAGTATATTTATTTTTATTATATATTTTTTTAATATGATGTATTTAAAAGAAGTTGGGTTTAGGGAAAATTTGAACGTAAACTTCGAACATTTAGTTGATGACGTAAAACAATATTGCGGCAATCGTGCGCCAGAATTGCCCCTTACGTCAGCAGTATGACGTCATCACATTACGTCAGCTCGCGCAATTTGATAGTAGCTTGCTGCTATCACCGGTGAAACAGGGCCCTGAAGTGGGTTGAAATATTTATGGAAGAGTGTTTCAACAGGGCCCTGTTTCACCGGTGATAGCAGCAAGCTACTATCAAATTGCGCGAGCTGACGTAATGTGATGACGTCATACTGCTGACGTAAGGGGCAATTCTGGCGCACAATTGCCGCAATATTGTTTTACGTCATCAACTAAATGTTCGAAGTTTACGTCCAAATTTTCCTTAAACCCAACTTCTTTTAGATACATCATATTTAAAAAAATATATAATAAAAATAAATGTACTATAATGACTGCGTAAACTCTTACTATTAGTCTCATACGTCACTTAATGCCGCAGCCAAGGTCGCGGCCATCGTGCGCCGGAACTGCCCATAACGTCAGCAGTATGGCGTCATGAAATGACGTCAGCTCGCGAAACGTGAGAGCGGCGTGCTGCTATCACCGGTGAAACAGGGCCCAGATTGTGCGGCAGATATGGCTTAGGTCCAGAGTGCTGTTCACGGGCACCTGCGGTAGCTGCGGTAGCTGCGGCTCGGCGGTCAGCCGGGTAATGACGTCACAGAAAGTGGGGATGGGGCGGGTGATGTGACGTCATACGGCTGCGGTCGGCTGCGGTCGCCTGCGTCTCCTGCGGTCGAAACGATCCGACCGCAGCGGCCGCAGGAACCATTTGTCATGCAAAGTGGCGCGGCAGTTGCGCATTCGTGTAAGTTGGGCGGAAAATTGACACGGCCGCCTCAGACGAACGCGTGATGACGTGCGCACAAGTGGGCGGGACTTACGGCCTGCGATCTACCGCAGCTACCGCAGTTACCGCAGGTGTCCGTGAACAGCACTCAGCTTTTTTTTTGCAATTAGACTGACATGCCGAATCCCTTTCAATCATGTTAATTGTTTCTTTGCTCCTGAACAATTGCCGTGCCTTTGTGGGTGTCTTCTGTGCGTCATCGATGCTGGTGTATCCTTCGTTGGAAACCATTTTTTTAACGCTGGTGTTTGCTGCAGTAGCTGATACCATCTGTTTTTTGTGTTTGAACGGTGGTCAAAATTTGATACTGTCATTGGTAAGCATGTACTGGCAAGTCACCATAGTCTGTTTATTTAATGATTGTGTTGCTATTTAAGTGCTTTAGTAAAAAGCGCTATTTAAGCATCCATACCTTAACATTGGGTAGGTAGCTAACAACCAAACACCTCCCGATTGAAAATACCACTTTTCACGTTGTGGAGCACGCAGGTCACCCTAGTTTTACCTCCTTTTTGACTTCTTGTTCAAACCTACTGCTCATCTTGTGACCTATTTATTTGTGCGCTTTAAGCAGACTGCCATCGTTAAATAAGCAGACTATAGGATGCCTGTAAATTTTCTTGTTTTTGGTCATGTTATCATGTGAATAGCTCACCTTTTCTGAGGGACCTCCTGAATAGATATAGTTACCTTACCTTACCTTACCTTACGGCTTACAGTTTCAGGATTTTTAGGCATAATGGCCTGTGGTGCCCGATCTAATCGAGCTCCTGGGATTGTGGCCTTATAAGATCTATAAAGTGGTATACCATTTGACGCGCTTGAGCGAGGGGAACACGATGATGCCAAAATGGCTCAAGTGGCTCTGTGGCTGTTTTTGCGAAGTTATTTGTCCCTCGCTCCGCGGGGGGAGGGGGCAATTTGGCCCCCCTGTGATTTTTCCTGAATAGCAGGCGCCGCCAAGTTTTCAGTAACTTCCTCTGCATCAATTTGACACCTTTACACAAAATATCAAGTCTTAGGTCACCTAAGGTCAAAATGAAGTCATGTTGGAGCAAAAATGAGCAAAAAAGTGAAATCATGAAATGCTCACAAAAGCTACAGTTACCAAGCAATTTCAAAGTTTTTTATATAGTTATAGTTATGTAGACAAAAGGCGGCGCCACAAAACCTCTATCTCGGATTTTCAAAATTTTGGGATTTTGACCCCTGAAATGCAAAAAAATTGATTTTTATAGAAAAACGTGAAAAAGTTCCAACATTTTTCTGAATAAAAAAGCGGAATATATGTGATGGTCCCTGCGCTCTTCTATATATATATATATATACAAAATTTTAGATTGATACCCTCTTTTTTGGCCAAGTTATAGCGAAAAAAGTTCAAAATTGATGACGTCAAATTTTTAACTCAATATTTAGCAATTCTAGACCACATAGCGCAAAATAAAGACCACCATTGAACTCCCCGTGAGATTATAACTATTGATTTTGATAATAATTGCACTTTTGCCAAGTACATTGTAGATACATGTATAATGTATTTTGCTTTAGTTATTGTATTCCGGCTGGTGTGTTAGGAGCATGTCAGGTACCCAGTATGCAGGGAGTGTGGACAAATCAGCTGGGTGGGTGGGTGCTCTTAAGTGATATGCCTGTGGCCAACTGCTCTCAACTCACCTGGTTGGCATCCAGGGCAAAATTAGCATTAATATCTGGGTGGTTGTGCTAGTGAACGGTCAACTGGGGTTAACAAACGAATACGAATGCCCATGCTATTCCTATGCAATGAATGACAGGACTATAGTCTGTTCCATGTCAAGCTTTCGGCCAAAGTGCTCTGCTGAAAGCAGTGAGTGATTTCTGTGCACACAGCTCTTGCATTCAAATACACAAATTTGAGCGAACTACCTAAGGAACTCCGGCCGCAAGCTTGATATGGAACATACTATAATGATGCAGCAAAACACAAAGGTAATTATTACTGATAATAAGTTGATGAGCAATGAAAACTGTAGCTAACAACAACGCAAACCCTAAAAACTAGCCATTAAAAGCATTGTTTAGATTTTGCCTGTTATGTTTTTCATGCGGCCATAGTTCAGAGCTGACATCTGACTACTGTTTCAGCTTCCTGTGCCAATAATTGTTATCATCTGTACTCTGGCTTTCTCTGTCATAGCGGTCCTGTTCGGTGCTCCGGCGCTCACGTAAGTTGACATGGCAAAATGGGTGTAGTGTGTTTCAATGGTTATACAATGTGGGCATAGATGTGGTCTCCTCGTGAACTTATTCCCGCCAACAGTGTCCCGTGCGATGTATTTATTTCGTCATATCCATGTCTGATATCACCATTGATCTCGAATGGTAAAATTGACACTGCGATGCACGTAACTTGACGTCATTAACCCGCGCCGTGCTGGTGGTCTGAGTTTTACGTGTCGTGCTAGGGGGGGGGGGGCATATAGCGACACGCGGTAAGCGCCTTTCAAAAGAGCGCAAAAATAGTGACGGAAATACTTCGGTCTGTTTTTAGGTCAGGTCACCAGAGGTCATCAGAGGTCAAATTTTGTCTATTTCAGTAATCTTCGAAACACCCGACGCATACATAACTCGGGAACCAATAGAGCTACAGCGTCGCGGAAAGCCACATTCGATAGCTCTCTTACGAGCCTTTCTGAGTATTGTTCTCAGATTCGACCTCAGGTCAACGGTTTAGCCTCCAGAGGGCAAAAACTCAAACAGCCGTTTTTGGAAACAGTTTTTCGGTAATTACTTTTGGCTCAAGAGAGCCGCGACATTAATTTTGCCATCATCGTGTTCTTCTCGTCGAGACACGTCGAATAACTATAAGTTGACTTCAAAAGGTCTTTTTGAATTTTTGATCTCAGCTCAGGGTGACGATCTGACCGGAAAGGATCATACTGCATATCAGTCGATCCGTATCGTCGAGCTGAACACATCTGAGTGTTTTCACCACTCTAGCACGTCTCTATCAAAAGTAATAGTAAAAAAATGCTGGCGACCTTTTGTGACCCTGAGCTGACCTCGGGGGCACACAGAGAGGTCACGGGTGCAATTTTCCGATTCGATGTGTCCTTTTTACCTTCAGATCGATGCTGGTGAGTTTTTAGAACGTCATTCGTCCAAAAGAGGCGCATTTAAATTTTCTCCCATTGACTTATAATGGAGAGGTCGCAAAATTGACCAATGGAGTGGAGAGGTCGCAAAATTGGGTGGTGGGTACATCCTGGGTCAGTGTCTGGAGAGGCCGGCTGGGTGGGTGGACTGTCAGTGTCTGGAGAGGCCGGCTGGTGGACTGTCAGTGTCTGGAGAGGCCGGCTGGTGGACTGTCAGTGTCTGGTGTCGGTCCTCAGTGACACCGAGAGCACTGTGCTGCTGGGAGCGGTCCTCTCGCTGTTGGCCGTTTACCCGACGGCGCTGACGGCCGGCGGCAGCGTCGGACTCATCTCGGACACTCTCCTGGACGCCAGGTCAGTCTCAGACACCATGCTGCACGCCAGATCAATGTCCCAGACGCTGCGCAATGTGTAAAATCGTCTGACTGCAGTGTCATTAAGGATAGTACGATTGTACGGCCGTTTGACCGCGGTGTTATGTGATGGTACGGCTGTCTGACCCGTGCCACCACACGATGGTACGGCCGTCTGACTCCAGTGTGTTGCACTGATGGTACGGCCGTCTGACCCCAGTGTGACCGTACGACCGTCTGTGTGGCGGCAGGCCCCACTGTGAGCGCGGACGGCAGGAGCTGTGGGCGGCCGCCGGCGCTCTGCTGGGCGCCTGGCTGGGCGCGTTCGTCATCCCGCTGGACTGGGACCGCGACTGGCAGGTAGTGTAGCGGCGCCGAGACAGGCAGCCGCTGGCGCCGTCAGTCTGGCAGACCCTGCAGGGCCTTTACGAAGGCGATACTTGGCTACTCTATCATCCAGGTCATCAGTTATGACCTACGAGTCACTGTCTAATAGCGTCAAAATCGATAATATTTCATTTTAATGACTCCTACGTGACCTGACCTTTGACCTAACGTAAATGCGACCGGAGTATTCTTATTTTATTTTTTTCGCCCATTTGAACGCCGCTCGCGGCTTGTTCTTACGCGGTCCAAAGGTCCTATGGCAATGTTTGCGGTGGGCATTTGTGGGTCTCCGTGCCACGATGTGTTATGATCGTCCTACTGTCCTGGCGTGGGTCTTGCTTCAGATTATTACCTAAGTTATTTGTATTACAAGTGTCCGTGTGCTGTTGGGCGACGGGTTTGTCGTGCGTTGCGACTGGCCGGCCAGCTGTGAGCGCCGCTGATGACTGTCCTAATGACGCCGCCCCGCCTGTGGTGCCAGGTGTGGCCGGTGCCGTGCTGCGCCGGCGCTCAGTTGGGCTCCGCCGCCGGCCGTCTGCTCTGCGGCACCCGCCCCTCGCTCCGTGACGACAAGGCCCAGTGACCTGTGTGGCACGCGGAGGCGGCAGCATGGCGTCCCTGGTGCGCCGCGGCTGGGCCTGGCTGGTGCACCGGTACCGCATGTACGAGCTCAACACGTCCGTGGCCCTGCTGGAACCCAACGAAAAGGTGGCCTTCCACACCTTCATCTTCTGCATTCTGTCGATGATGGCCTACTCGACGTACGTCTACCTGCCCCATTACACGTTGGTGTTGCTGGCCCGGTTCGGTCTGGTGGTGGCCGACACCGACTGACTCGGTGCCGCTGGGAGCAGCTCCCCGCCGCGCTCACACACCGGCCCGCCTGTTGACTGACCTGTGTGTCGTCGCGTCTGCCGCTCGGCGGCGATATCTGTTTGTTGTTCACTGTACATATATCGTGATTAGCACGGAACCGAGGAGTCATGCCAACCGAGCTGACACCGGCTAAGGTGCTGACCAAGGGTCAGCTGAAACGGGCCGCCCGCGACAACAAGGGGCGCACCAAGAACGTGCTGTTTAACCCGTTCAGCGTGCAGTGGCCGCCGGTGGAGGAGGCGGCCGCCGCCGCCGTGCTGGCCGCCCTGCGCTCTCAGCTGCAGCAGTTCCATGTGCAGAGCGCCGTGCCTCAGGACGAGTACGCGGCGCTGCTGGCCGCCGGAGACCGGGCCGCCATCGGCCGGCGGCGCCGCCAGCTGCGCGCCGCTGCCGAGCCGCTGCTCGCCGCTCGCCGCCGACACCTCGAACACTGCGTCCTGGGCTTCAACGCGGCGTCGCGCGCGCTGGAGTGCGGCCGTCTGGCGGCGCTGCTGGTGGAGGCCGACACGCCGGCGCTGGAGACGCGGCTGCTGGTGCCGCTGGCGGCGGGCCGCCGCTGCCCGGCCGTCTGCCTGCCGCGCGTCCGTGAGGTGGTGCAGCGCCGGATCGGCCTGAGCACGGCTGTGCTGGGCCTGCTGCAGGGTGCCACTGCCGACGGACATCACCTGAAGCCGCTCTACGACGCCATCTGCAGGGCGGCTGTGCCGCTGATCTGGCCGCGGCCGGCCGCCGCCGCCGCCGCCGTGGCGCCGGAGAGTCCCGAGGCGCCGGAGAGCGGGCTGCAGGGCGGGCCCGGCTGCGACGGGCCGGAGGTGTCGCCGGCGCCGTTCGAGCAGGCTGACTTTATCAGTCTGTCGGTGTCGCCGCCGCAGAGCGCCGCCGACGACCTGGTCACCGTCGACACAGAGGGCGTGCCGCACAAGAAACGGCTCGCCTTGAAGCAAGCTCGTGTCATGAGCGTCACTCTGGGGTCCAAGGCACTTAAGAAAGCCGTTAAGGTGAAAAAAGCTACCACTTAGGATGTTTCGATTCTCTTCGAAAGTGTAGCCTCCTCGTTCAGAAAACCTTTTGTTCCACTGGCAATAAAATTCCAGGACTGTTTTCGAAGCACGTACCTATTCTTATTCCCGTATTGCTTTCCCAGATTTGGACTGGCTCACTGTATGACTCACGCACAGCTGAAATAAAAACCAACCTGTTTTTAAGCGCTTTGACCCCAGGTGTGATTCAAAGCATCTTAACGAAGCGGCTTCATATGTCTGAAGATGTACACTTATAACCTCTCAATAAAACACTCGAGTGGCATCAACACTCGAGTGACATCAAGGGCGTAAGTCTGACAATGTTATTTACCAAAACACGTTTCATGGGCAATACCGCTACTGTCATAAACACCCTGTTGCAGGCCGAGCGGATGCCGCTCAATAAGAGGCAGAATGAAAACATTTCCAAGAGATAAACAACCGTCGCGAGGTGGATTACGAAATCCGCGGCAGATTGCTGTTTGGTTTTTGTTTATTCGCCAGTGCTGCCCAGTGTTATCATACAACTCTGAATGCCTATCATAAATCCGTATTTGGCACTTAGAAATGACCTTGAAATATGACCTTGACATTATTTAATATAGTTCGTTTTTTTAAGTTCGACCCTCACTGTAATCGTCTCTTTGAACACAGCACGCGAATTGCTAGCTGAATTACTGAGAAAACTGATTGGCGCACATTGATTTCACAGACGATCAATTTTGTTCGAAATTATTTCTTCCTGGCTCTTATTTCCTAGACTCCTAGCTCGTATTTGCCTATATATGCAACCCCACAGGGAAAGAAAACTTGTCAGAAATTATAATTGAACTAATCAATAAATCGCACGGCGTTATTTGGCAGAAGTGTATATCACCGGTGTTGAAAACATATTTATAAAGTATTGTTCATCGTTACCCAGTTTTCAAAGTAATTCAGCTAGGAATTCTCGTGCTTTGTTCAAAAAGATGTTTACAATGAGGGTCGAACTCAGAGAAAAACGAACTATATGTACGTTTCCACGGCACAAGTGCAGGGTGATTTTTTTTACTTGTTAAAAAGTAGTGAGGTTTAGTGGCGTTAACCCGCGCCCTGGTGGGGTCTGTTTATAACGCGACCTGGTGGGGGGGGGGGGGGGCTATTTTTTGCCCCCCCTCGTATCTCCGAAACTACTGGACGGATCCGCAAAATTCAAACGGCGTTCGAAAGGCCTGTCAAATTTGTCGAGGGAAACCAAATTTTATTGACCTCGGGGTCACCGATGACGTCACAGGTCAGGTCAAAGATGAAATGTTTCACCGTTCACGGGTCTTCTAGGGAATGCGCTATAACACCGAGGAAAACGCATTTTGTCGGGAATCAGCGATAGGGCGTCAGTTGCCTAGTAGATATGTTGCTGTTAGAGGTCACTTGTCATACCAGGTCAGGTCATAGGTCAGGTCACCAAAGGTCACAAAGGGTCACCACATGAACCCAACTTTACTAAGGTTATGCGATGCATGTTTTATGGCCAGTTTTTCATTTCCAACTCAATGGTGTTGGTTATAAGACCATCAGGTACGGTTTAGGTCACTTTCTGGTGGAGGTCAGGTCAAGGTCAGGTCAAAAAAAGGTCAAATTTCAAAGTTGATATTTTTGCATAAAATGGGTATTGATTCGATGCAGCTCGTCACGGGGAGTCTAATGGTGGTCTTTGTTTTGCGCTACGAGGTCTAGAATTGCTGAAAATTGAGTTTGAAAATTTGACGTCATCAATTTTGAACAGTTTTTTCGCTATAACTTGGCCAAAAAAAGAGGTATCGATCTCAAATTTGGTATGTAGATAGAAGGCGGTAAGGACTATCACATATATTCCGTTTTTTTTCGAAATTCAAAAAACTTTTTGGATTTTTTGGCTATTATATTCAAAAAATCTATGTTTTTATTTTTGGGGGTCAAAATCCAAAAATTTCAAAAATCCGAGATAGCAGTTTTGTAGCCCTGTCCATTCTACAGCTTTTATGTCTGAATCATTTTTCTGTATTTGCAAAGCTTTAGGCCTGACAGCTCTTCCCGCGAAACCCTTTTTTGGGTCGAAAACGGCAGAACATGACGTCACTCTGACGTCATTTCCGGCCAACCTATCATAGCCTTTGGAAAAATTTTTGGTCACAATGTGTAAAATTGATGTCCGGGAGGGTACTGAAAGTTTGGTGACGATCGGCGCAGTGGTTCTGGAGATATATCGAAAAGTCTGGAGGGGGGGCAAAAAATAGCCCCCCCCCCCACCAGGGCGCGGGTTAAAATGCAAATATATATGGTAAAATTATATACCAGCATGACGAGCATTCTGGGACATTTTGATTTCATGCAGACACGATGTGAAGGAACGTCCATCGTGTATTTTACTTGTGCTTGAAGTTACCCCCTCTCTCATCGACACGAATCAGCCCGCCTGAGCACGTGTTGAACAGTACCATGGACTCCCATGCTCATTAGGCGGACTGAAAAGGCTCCTATCACCCATTTTCAGCTCTGCCAGATATTTCCAATGTTTTCTTGTTATATCTGCCATACCTGGGTCCAAAAACTAGAAGTCTAGAAAAGGCAGGTCGAGGATTTTGCTACTGGCGGCCCTGGTGGTGTCTGATTCGCTGTTTTTTGTTTCTCCCTGAAGACTGATTCTTCAGAGGTTGAACATACGCCAGATGGACCGTTTGAAGGTCATTTATGACTACAAGCTTGTTCCTGCATTATTTAACGTCTTTCTGAGGTATCTCCTTGATGATCGTATGCTTCGAACTGCCTCAATGCTTCAAAATCATCGTTTTGTGTCGTTCCTTACTGAACGGCGGTGGACCATGCGTGCCCGATTGGTGGGACATTTTCAGGCTCCATTGGGGCCGAGGCCTTCGGTTAAAAGGGACAAATCATGACACCATACAAAATGTCCCAGATTTATCTATCACGTGCATTGCTTTTTTGCACAAGATTTTTCGATTTAGGGACCACCATTGACGTTTACTTTTTAACAGTTAAAAAAAAAATCACCCTGTAGGTAATGCCGATTTCGCAAAATGGATTTGCACCATCATAGCATTTGGACATTATCAAAAAGTGTATTCCTACAGGATTAGGTGCTAGCCACAGCCATAAATACGCTCTTTTTTTACATAATGAATAGAGCTGTACGGTCGTCAAGTTAGAGGTAAGTGTCAAGTGAATCCTTACTTACTTACTTACTTACGAAGTACAGAATTTGGATAGGCCAGACTAGGCCTTTAGAAACCTTTCTAGTCGAGCTCCTCGTGCGTCTGACTATTCGTCTGCGTGAGGGATGTCGTGTGCATGGTGTGCCCAGTGAGCGTCAAGCCGGTTTTTGAATTGGTTCAGGGTGTCGGATGCGACGACCACTGACGGTAGGCTGTTCCAGTCGTTGATGACCCGGATGGAGAACGCGTTGCGCCGAATCCTGGAGACCGCTCGCGGCTTGGCTAGTCTCCATTGGTGTCCTCTTGTGGCAGGAGTTCTGTCGGCTGCCATCTCGAAGAAGTTGCGAGGGTCCATGTCCAGTCCACCGCGGAGCAGCTGATAAACCGCGATCATATCTCCACGCCTCCGTCTGTAGTACAGCGTTGGTAGCTGCAGCACTTTCAGACGCTCTCGATACGGGAGGTGTCGAAGATCGGGAACCAGCTTGGTCGCCCGCCTCTGCACCCGCTCTACCAGCCGCTGGTCCGCCCGGTTGAAGGGACCCCACACTAGGTTCCCGTACTCAAGGTGGGGTCGGACAAGGGCCTTGAGGAGCAGGGGGAGGGTTGATTTGTCAAGAAGGTGGAAGGACCGACGAATCACTGCCATCACTTGTGTTGCCTTCCTTACGGCCGCAGCAGCCTGCTTCCGGAATTTGAGCTGGGTATCCATGAGGACGCCAAGGTCTCTCTCGACATCCGACTCCGCGACTGTAGTTCCCCCCATCCGGTATGTGTGGTGCTGGTTGCCTCCGCCGATGTGGAGCACCTTGCACTTTCCAGGGTTGAATGCCAGCTGCCACCTGTCTGCCCAGTGAAGTGCCGCGTCCAGGTCCTCCTGCAGGGATGCCGAGTCGGACGGAGAGCAGATAGATCGATAGAGTTTGCTGTCGTCGGCGAATATCTTTATCCCGCAGCTTAGCGGCTCCGGCAGGTCGTTCACGTACAGCAATCTTTAATTCTTTTAGGTATTTTAAGTTTGCCCTTCACTGGCTTAGGTATAAGGTCGATGGTTGGAAACTGGGAGGGGCTCGGCTATTTTCGACCACGGATATGGCTTTATCACATAGGAACACTGCTCATAAGCGTTTTATGTGAACAGCACAAAAGTATTTAAAATCATTTTTCAAACATAGCCGTTCGACCGTATCTTTCAGTGCAAGGCGTGCAAGGTGCCATCTTGATCTGTCATCCCCGATGCTACGTCACGCAGAGGATTGCCAGATTTTTCTACTAACCTTCGACGCCCCCACTCCCATGCCCCAGGGCCCTGTTTCACGAATCACGGGTGATAGCAGCACGCTGCTATTATTATACGTGTCAAATTGGGGCCCTGTTTCACCGGTGATAGCAGCACGCTGCTTTTACACTCAATATACCCTGGCTTTTACACGTGTCAAATTGGGTTTCCATGGAAACATCAACAGGCCCATTGCTCCAACACTACCGCAAGTGTGACGTCAGCTCGCGCAATTTGATAGCATACCAATGTGGTAGCACTAGCAGCGTCCCGTGAAACACCGCCTGGGTTTCCATGGAAACATTGGTAAAAGTATACATTGAGTCCGAGTGACTGTTAAAAGATAAAGTTTTCATATTCTTACATTATTTGACATCCTGAATCCAAAAATGATACTTATATGTCTTGGAAATAAAAGAAAAAACATAATCAAACCTGACCTAACCTTACCTATTTACCTACAACCTACAAACCTACAACCAAAGCCTAACCTAACCTACCAACCTAAAACCTAAAACCTACAAACCTACAGCCTAACCTAACCTAAAACCTAAATTTTTTGCTGTTACATATTTGTATCAACAGCGTCACAATTGTCCACTCGGACCTAATACATACTAATACCGAAACATCAACAAACCATGCCGTCGTTCATCTGTGTGATGTCATCAAATATTGCTGCTAAGTGCTAACATCTTCACGGCCGTG